CCGACAATACTTGTATTTGCCGATATACGGATGCATTCTAGAGGACGTCCGGAGCAGCACTGTGAACGCATAACTAATTGCTGAATAATGAGTACACGTATTTGGTTATGATGTGAGTTGGTTCATCGCAATTAGATTCCAAGCCGCATAGGTAAGCTACTAATCCAGAAAAGCACCAGACGCGCGTTTCGCCTTATTGGGGCTCGTCAATGGTGCGCATCCATCTGTCGCCTATTGGGGATCGTACCCATGACCGCTAGAGGCTAACGCCAACTGGCCAGCAGATTCTGCCACGGAACCATGGGGAGGACAGCCGACCATTACCAAATGAAACCTAACTGCAAGATAGAACGACTCATCCTCCACTGCCGTGCAGGTTATCGCCCGTGCCGAGGACGGTGGTTGGCCGTCACGGTCAGCTCTTCCCTTGCCAGCGCTGTGAATCCACACAGCAATTTGGAATGCTAGTAGGGCTTAGATTTTGATTACTAATGAGTAGACGGATTTGGGTATGAGTTGGCCAATTCAGGTACTCCGAAGGCTTATCTAGATACGCTGACATCCGGGCTGAGTAAACGTCCACTGAACGCATTTGTAGGTCACTGGTCGCATATCCGGTAGACGTTAATATTCGCACGCATGACTTCATGTGGCAAATTTCATCGCCAACCTGGGCATTGGAGTTAAACACGGTCTTTGGAACTTCCAGATACTCGCAGATGTGCTCCAACTGGAAGCAAACACAACGAGACTCCAAAGATCTCAGGGAAAAACGCCGTGCTAAGCTGAAGATAAATTGTGAAGCCTGGTGATCTTTTCGAATCTCGGAGATGGAAATAGCTGCTGCCGTTAGTGACCATCGTAAAGCATGCCATTCGAATTCTCTATACGGGCAGCAGTAGACATGGTATTAGCGAGCTATACGCGAAGTGAATAGACATCCAATTTTTATCATGTCAAAACACTTGGAGCCTTGGGTCGAACACTTTGAAAACCACTTAAGTCAGTCAGGTTTATCAAGTTCCTTTTCATGTATTGATTACTTTTCGCTTTGGGATGTCCCTTTGCATCTAATCTCATACACAGCAATAAAACGTGAGGTCAGACTGTTGAAACTGAATCAGGCCGCAAGAGCAGGTAGACTAGCTCCAGCCCTCTTCAAATCCGTAGCATTAGCTGTGGTGGGTGAACTGTATAACAAACTAGTGACACTGCAGGAGAAGGTAACTATCCCAACACATTGGAGTTGCTGCATCACACTCTCAAATTCCCAAGGAGACATGTTCAGAATACAGCAATTACAAAGCTTCACTCTTTCCTTAATTGCATCCAATTACTTGACTTCGCCATCCTCCATAGACTGTATGGCAAATGTGAAGGCCAGATTCACGAGCAGCAAAACGAATTTCTTCGCAATCTAGGCTGTACTGACCACAAATTTACTTCAGTTGTAGGAACGATGCCATATTTTTTGTGGTCCACTGTGGTCGCGTTCCTCGACGTTAGTATTGCCTATCATTTAGGGGTAGTTGCGCAATTTGAGACTGCCTTCTCAGAAAATGTTGGCACAATAAATATGTGGTTGCCATACGAATGTGCATGTTTCTGTCAGTGTAAGGGTTTATGGTAAACTGTTGCCGCATTTTAATATCTCCAGTGGGGTAGAGCAGGTATCATTTGTTATAATCTTTGCATTGTAACTTTGCAATCGATGCGTTTTGTAATCGGCGCTTCCTGAATACGGCTTAGAAAGTGTGGAACTGCTCCAGGTGATAGACTTCTTGACATGGAGTACACCGATGATATTGCTTTCATCTGTGACAGCTCCCAAGCGTGACGAGCGGTACTACTTAAATTATCTCTAGCTGTCAATCGCTTTGGTTTTTGCTCGGACTCTCCTCTGCTCTGAATCCTCAAAGCAATAAGCAAGAGTCCGCTCAGAACTTCAAGTATATAGATAAGTGGGGCCAAAGATGAGATCACGCACAGTGTCGTAAAGACTCGAGGAACTTTTGTCAATCGCCGTCAAATGTAGGGTCGGCGCGGCATCACTCTCACTCTGAAGGGCAGAGATTGCAATCCAGCCGTTAGTACAACCCTTCTGTACGACGGTGAAACATGGCGCGTCTGGTCGATAGTACTAAAGCGGCTAGTTACTCTCGATCATCTCAACGATCGCAGTTTAGCTTGCTCCTGTTGGGAATACCGGGTGAACAATAAAATTGTCCGACTTCGTGTATTTGGTGCAGGAAAACCGAATGAACAGCTCAATGCTATTTTATTACGCACTAGGATTCGATGGCTGGGCCTCGTGTTGCGCATTCCGGATGGGTGGATAGAAGAGGAGGAGGGGAGGCCAAGCGATTATTAGGTCAAAAGCAATGATGGTTCTCCCTTCGGACTTTCCGTCGATTGGACTCTCGATTGCGTGGGTGGAGTCCGAAGGACAATGAACATCTTTGACTGGATACGCTAGTTGTCATAGCAAAGAGCGGATCCCAGCAGCGATTGTGTTGAGAGTTTCTTTGTCCTTCCCTCTCCCGATTAGCTTTTCAATCGAAATACTTCCCCCAACTGGTGCTTGATTAGATACTGAGCATCAGACTTATACCTCCCTTCGTCATCTCGTACATTTGTTAAGACAACATAATAGTTGAATTGTGTTTCCCACCTTCGGCTTACGCGTAATGATGATTATGGCGAAGGTTTGCGTTTATAGTGTGAACATGACGTCAATGGAATCTTTGAAAGCGCACTTTTTGAAGAAAAGCCCCATGATCCTACAATCTTAAACTGCAGTATGTCCGGCTTGCCTAGTAAAATTTAGGGTTTGAATAGATTATTCCTAAGTTGTGGATGATAAGAGTGTGGGACGGTGGATAACTGCCAGTGGTAAGCGAACTTGCCGACATGTAATGTCATGCCACCCGAATCAATTTGGTTTAAAACATTCTGGATTGCCCTCAGTGACACCAAGCTAACCAAATTGTAAAATAGTTATGTCATGGTGAGTTCCGAAAGATCATTCACATGTACTAGGAATAATAGAGGGCGCAGTACATTCCGCCAGTAATCACTGGCTTAGGTGCACTTAATTAGTTTGAATCTGCACAATCTGGGACCCTTAAAGTATTTAGTTCCTCTTAACAAATTGAAAGACACGAGGATGACGAAAACTGGTTGTAGTAAGTATTTCATATTGTCTCCTCAGTACACTTATCAACAAACGATTTGCTAACAGACAAGCTTGGGGTACGGAGTAAATGACGGAACTTCATTTCTACGTCCATGGATGCTTTCGGCTGACAAATATTTGGTTCCGAATACAAGGGTCTGGCTTCACCCGACTTAACACCTAGAATCCGTTGGTGACATAGGAATCCAACAACGAGAGCAACGTTTCGCGATACTATCTGAAGCTACTTTAGGTAGGATGTGAGCATACGGAACGCGACCAAATGTTTTTTGCATGTCAGGGTAGACGATTACAATTGATGGACTGCAGTTAAGCGGACTAAGCAGGACACTTGGGAATTCGATCTGACACATTACTCAAATATTAATCTCGCAAAGCCGTGTTTCTAGCGGTTTTAGACTATACTCGGAGTTCGATTATATTGGAAGATAGAGATGTATGGTTAACCTAACGACAGATACGTGTTTTATTCACTGGATTTGATTTCTACTGAGGAGAAACAGCGGCATGCTTTCATTGTGCTAGTACAATACCAGATGGCATAGATAGCGTGCAGAGACATTGAAGCAATATGGAAATATCATCGGCACCAAGTTTTATCAGCGGTGGTAATACAATGCTAGGTCTACACCATCTAGATATCTTAACAGCGCAACTAAAATCTTTACTGTTATGGAGGTCGAAATCGACTGAGCAGAGTGCTCAGTAAGCAGAGGTAGGTGTTGTATCACTGGCTCAGATGTAGTGTTACATGTTCGGCGAAAGCAGTTGTTAGGAGCATCTCCGGAGTGTACGGACTTGTTTTCAACGTTGATTATACTATTTCTGTTGATCTACTTTCTACCGCCGTCTTTTGCTGTAGCAAATCACACCCATTTTCTACCCACTCTGCTAGCTGGGTTTTCATCCCGAGCCGACAATGGTGTACACCTTCTGTGGTACAGTCATCCGAGTTCCAAATCAAGTCTGAGCAGCTATAAGGATATGCCATTTGTGAAGCAAGCTATTGTTCATACTGTACATAAATGGTAGCAGATGCTTGGTCACGACTTCTCACATTGGTTACTTTCCATATTTTGTCTATTCCACAGTCTCACACTAATCGATTTCTCTTTTGTCTGGCTCGTCCGCCTCGAGTTATGCTTGAACGCGTCAGCTAGAATTTTCCGATCTGTCTAGTGCACGCGATTGGTCCGCTTGCGAACGTTCAGTCCACTGCACTTTGTGTTTTTATTGACAAAGCTGCAGCTGTTACTTCAGCCTTCTGTCGATGCTATTTCCTCTCTCCGTCTCGTCCACGCGTGACTAATTTGCGTCGACAACGGCTGCTTAGCCTCTACTTGCCCACAGTCGATTGTCCGCAAATCGCACTGGAGCCACGACTTCTCGATCGGTTCCAAGTACATTACAATCGTTCGAATCCTTGGTAGATTTTACTTATATCATCACCTACTGAAAAAGTTCGCATTCCGAAATAGCTCTGAATGACAACATCGTTGTTGTGGTTAGTGCTTACTTACTAACGCACCATCTTCTTCACCGTTCATTCCTAAATGTGAATTTAAGCCCATTTTGAGCAGATAGCAGTGTGCATCAGTCGTTTAGTTAATTTTGCTAGTTGTTCGTCGAGTTACTCACCTCCCTGTACCTGGCTGTTTGATGCCAACCATTGCATGTGCAACTGGAAGTGTGTTCACTGGTTTGCTTCACTCTTGAGAGTTCGCTCCTCATATGCTATACAGTCCCTACCATAAAGACGGATCGTTTATTTATCTTGCCTCTCTGTCCCACCCTTGATTATCAGAGCATCGCCAGCGGCAAATTTCAGCGCTTTGATTATGGTATCTTGAAAAATTTGCTGATCTATGGTCAAATACATCCTCCGGAATACGATTTGTCCAAGATCACTGTACCCACAGCGATTTTCCATGGTGGCAATGATTGGCTGGTAGTGGAGGAAGACATCAATCAGCTTGCGTTAGAGATCAACAAGACACTAATTGGTAAATATTTGCTGACACATTACCAACACACTGATTTTATTTGGGGTTTGGACGCCGGATATGTACTGTATCCATCGGTGCTTGATATCCTACAGCAGTATTGAGGTCCCTTAATTTTGTTCTTAAAACTTTTACTCAGGTCCCTTCATCTGGTGAATTGGTTTTCCTCTTTTGCTTTGTGATGCAAAAGTTTCCTTCTAAAAATATATATATTGCGCTGGGGCTCTATTTTTTATTTCAGCTGTCAAACAAAGATGGTTGTTCGAATTTGGACTTGGAGATTCCGCTGTGTGGTTGGGTTGCCACACGCAACCTCTATTAAGACTTCGGTTCACTTGAGGTGGACCTCAGTCATTTCGATCACAAGGACAGTATGTGTGATGAAACTATTTTGGTGTTGCCCATCCCAACACTGGCACCCCACGACCGCGGTTTCGTCCTGATTTGGACTCATCAGGTGCAGATAACGTGAGCTACGGTGGAAATCAGAGCCTAGTGGTTCACGGCTGATGCCATAAACACTATGCCACTGAGATCCGAATTAGCGGTGGCAACGCTGCCATCTAACAATGTCTCCATCTGTAGACCTCCCACAGGCGCAAGCAGGGCACTCCGGTGATGTGACACATTCACACGTCTTTTGCGATTTGATTACTACAATCGCCGCTTACGTTGTGTTTGGGTGTACATAGAGATTATGTGTGACTCGTGCAACTGCCACAAGCCAAAATCACATGGACCACACTTTCAGTAGAGGCAACCACACCTATGGGAGACAACCGATTCATACTTGGCCCATATCACGCGAACATGAATTCCGTCCATAGGTAGATGGTATCAAGCGACGGAACTCAAGAGGACTGTCAGTATTCATAGCTCGTTGCTGCATTCGGGGTCAATTGAGCAGATCATATAAAGCAAATGGAATTTCGGCTATCCTGTGCAATTTTCAATGAGGCGAAAAGTAGTTCTTATCTACTGATCTACTCATTTAAAATCTGGCAGAAACATCAGCTTGGGTACAGCGTGGTCGACAAAAGTTTGAAATCCTAAAAAATTTGTACTTCACGGCGGTGCAATTTAACTTCATCCAATCGTCAGCTCGTGAAACAGGTTCTCGGTAGGTTTCAGGAGGGCGTCTGTAACATGGGTTAGGCAAATTCATGCAATTAAACAATAGTTTAGCAGCATTGACTTTTAATAAAACCAGTGGGATACTTTTAACACTTTGTTCCAGCCGCCCACGAGCTACATAGCACAGCGTAGTCCGGAAGAACACCAGCCGCGTTTCAGCCTATTGGGACTCATCATTGGTGCGTATTCCCTCGGTCTCCTACTGCGAATCGAATCCATGACCGCTAGTGACAGACGCAAACTAGCCAGCAGCTTAAGACACTGAGCGGCGGAGGAAGACCGCTGGGATGAAGGATTTGCAAGCTAACTGCGATATAGCATGACCTATCTTCCACTGCCACGTAGGTTACTACCTTAGCAGTTTAGATTAGAAGTAGTTTCCAAGGCGGCATAACGAATATGAGAAAGGATTTATTTATATAAACATTCGGAAGCATTCCGTACTAGAGCTGCTGTCGATGCTGAAGTGTATGATGCGACAGTATTGCGCTATAATCTCATGCACATAAACGGAAGGCATTTGAAAAATAAAATACGAATTCTAGCAATAAACTTGTGCGAATAAATGTGGAACATTTTGTTGAGCAGGCGAGGATGCAAGAGCTTGACATTGTTGGTCGTATCTTCTGACGTCCTCGCTGCTAATTCAGCAGGAACGTCATCGAATTATCAGCGTTCCACCGAGTCATTATGCCATCATCGGAATGGAACTTTAAGAGATTAGCCTCTTCATAGCCGATCTGAGGAGGATTCCTCAATTAGTGCACCAACGTTGCCAAGTACATTGGTCAAGGCGAGAACCTCTTTTCTCAAAAGTTTGGGAAGGTGCCTGAGTTCCACTGGGGACCAGCTGTCCCAAGCTGTCTTGCAGCTCACTAGAGCAGTATATCCTCAAATTAGTCACGCGCCAGATCTCCAACAGATAGTTCACTGTAGCCAACAGACCTTAACTGTTTGCTTCAAAAATAGTTACTGATACTGCTCATTGTCCCCAATACCCATTAACATTCTACAATGACCCCACTGACTAGACGGGAGCAGAACTTCATTTATCCCGGCACACTTGTCGACTGCTCTTCAGCTGTCCAAAAGCGAATGCGTGTTATGTATACAATTAGTAGGTGCTTTCAGGGTTTACTGGCAAGTTTATATTGTGATGATATTATTGCTTGTCTTGTTCGCCAGACTACATTTTAGTAATCGCATGCAGCAAACGCTTTCTTTTGCACTGAGGCTGCATGCGAGTGCGGACCGATTATTCACCCTTGCTGTAATCTTCAGGCTTATTCACAACTTCATTTAACAGTTCAACTCCCTATGTTGGGTTCGTATATCCTAGGATCTCAGTCAGTTTGAAATGAAACATGTAGGGTAGCCTTAGCACACACCGAAGACAACCGGCATAACTTCAACTTCGACAGCGGTTACCAACCCACGAGTAGCAACCGCACTAAGCGTCTCGGAAGGATTTCCATGAGGTAGCGAACTGAAACCGTTATATTCCACCACCCAACTTGCCAAAAAATAAGCTGCGTGCGGAAGGTGTTTCGCAGGATTGAAATACACTGCAGTACAGCGAAAGCCAAACCGGAAGAACAGAAACACCTATTCGATTCGTTTGAGCGCAATGGATACCCACGCATCTTCATCCGCAGATGTCTAAACCACAAACCTACAAACACCGAACCGATGTTAAAAGCAAACAAGGGAGTCGTTTTCCGTATATGAAGAACATATCTGAAATGACTGCTGGATGGCTCAAACCAAACC